CTTAGCAGGAATAGTGAGCCAAACCCTAGGCATGAGTCAGAGCCCCCATCCAGCCAAGATGGGGAAGGGTAATGGGGTGGAGACTGTGGCAAGTTTCACATTCTGCCGCCCTGTCTTGTCTTTGATTTTATATTCGTAAGGAAGGGCGTTTCAAAGTGAAGCTGTGCCTTATGGGAGCCTTTCTCCCTGCCATGAATGATGTGCAAAGTACACCCTTGTTTTCCTTTTCCTGGTTCTTTCTTAGTTTTTTATTGCTTTGGGAGAGTGGAAGTGTAAGAGTAGGGGCAGGACTGGTTTGTGAGGCCATGTGCCATGTGAAAGCTCAGGCTTCTTGTTCAAGAACTATTAAGAATTTCAACATGGCAACAACAGAGCAAAACCAAGCATGAGGCCCTTCCACATGCAGGCCTGTGTCACTGCACAGATTGCATGCCCATGGAGCCATACGCAGAGGGAGTGGACCAGGGAGTCAGACGGGGGTCTGGAGTGGAGGACCCTTGCTGGATCTCAGACTAAAGCCAAAACATGCAAGAAGTCTTCCCCATCTGTAATGAATGTGAAACATGGTGTAACATGAGCAGATTGGTATCCAGAGAGTCCCAAAGATTGCACTTAGATTCTGTGGCTGTCAAGAACAGACCTTATCTTGCAGAGGAGAAATAGAGGCCGAGATAGAAGAGGTGATCCTCTGAAGATCACATTGCTTGTTAGTGACAGAATGGGAACTAAATCTTAGGCTTTCCAACTTCCATGCCAGTGTCCTTTCTAATCCTTGGTGAACCTGTACAGCAGTGAAATTGTTCTCTTTCATCGTGGATAAAACTGGAACTTGGAAATAAGAGTGAGATGCAGGGAAGGAAATGAGATAAATGATAAATGAATGGAGAAAACAAAACAGTTTAGAAAGCCAAAGCAGTTTGTCTGAGTCCTATCTGATACACAACATACAGCAAGGCAGACAAATGTCTGTGTGGCAAAACAAAACTGGAGGAAGCAGATATTTTCAAATAAAATATGCATATTTCTAACCAGCCTTGAGCTCATCTGATAAGGGACAGATTGTCCAGAGTAAATAGAGAGAGGAAAAAAAGATGCTTTGGGCTGAATTTAGTCCCTTGTCAAAAGCAGAAGGGGCTTTTTGTTTCTTCCTCTCTGAAATGTCACCTCTCGAGCTGCAAGGCCTCCTAGGGCTGTGAGGGAAAACTGAGTAGTTTATATATTTGTTCATTTGCTCATCCACCCATCCATCAAAGCAGGCACCTTTCGGGCACCTACTATCGGCACTGTGCTGTGCTAGATCCTGAAAAGAATGTTTCGGTTAAGACATGGCCCTTATCTTTAAAAAAGAGACAGACAGATACATATCGGAGAAGAAAGAAAACCGTAAGAGTCCAGTACTAGTGACGTGTACTGTGTACTATCGTAACTCAAGAGAAGGGGAGATTCATACTGCTCAGTTCCTGTTCACTTTGCAAACTGCTGCCAGTACCTATTCATCACCATTCAGCTCCTCTTTCCCATAGGACTCCTGGGATGAAGGGTGTATCTGGGGAGTGGGGATATGGGATTCTTGTAGGCAGTACCTCTTTATGCCCAATGATGCATGTTTATGTACCAACTTTTATCTGCATGATCCACTATGGAGGAGACCTGGAGATGAGGTGATTCTGGTTGGTACCTGACCAGGATCCATGCCACTTGTACTTCCTCCTGCCCATCTGCTGCCCCAGGCAGTATGTAAGAGAACAGCCCTGCTGAGTCCAGGGAGAACGCTAGCTTGTGTGACCGTCAGGGTAGCACTCCAACTCCATCTGAAAAATAGCAGGAGAGGAGGAGTTCTAATATACCAAAGTTTCCTAATCTAAATTAGTAACAACATACATAATTTCTCATAGACATTAGAGCTGAATGAGAAGAGAAAGGAGAATAATTTGTAAAGGCTATTATTATTATTTGAGATGGAGTCTCACTCTGTCTCCCAGGCTGGAATGCAGTGGCATGATCTTGGCTCACTGCAATCTATACCTCCTGGGCTCAAGTGATTCTCTTGCCTCAGCCTCCAGAGTAGTTGGATGACCACCATACCATGGGCCCACCACCATACCAGGGGTCCACCACCACACCCAGCTAATTTTGTATTTTTAGTAGAGTCAGGGTTTCACCATGTTGGTCAGGCTAGTCTTGAACTCCTGACCTCACACCCAACTAATTGTGTATTTTTAGTAGAGTCGGGGTTTCACCATGTTGGTCAGGCTAGTCTTGAACTCCTGACCTCACACCCAGCTAATTGTGTATTTTTAGTAGAGTCGGGGTTTCACCATGTTGGCCAGGCTAGTCTTGAACTCCTGACCTCACACCCAGCTAATTGTGTATTTTTAGTAAAGTCAGGGTTTCACCATGTTGGTCAGGCTAGTCTTGAACTCCTGACTTCAGATGATCCACTCGCCTTGGCTTCACAAAGTGCTGGGTTTACAGGCATGAGCCACCATGCCTGGTCTGTAAAGGCTGTTACAGAAGAGAGAGAAGAGACAACACACAGCAAAAAATCTCTAAAGGCCAATCTGGTAAAATTATTCTGTGCTTCCCTGCTCCTTGGCTGTCGAGCATATCATCCACTAGGAGATGTGTACACAGCCTTTGCTATGCCTGGAAATATAGACTTGAAGCGAATTCTTACATATAACCATATGTTCCATAATAGTATTGCTTCATATTCTTACCAATACTTTGAATTTTAAAAAGCTCTTATCACCTTCAGGATCTCATTTTCTCCTTCAACAGCCCAGGGAGGTTGGTGGGATCTGTACTGTAATTCCCATTGTACAGAAGAGGCAAGCAAAGCTTGGGGAAAACTAAGCTACATGTCTCTGACCCCAGTGAGCAGCTGAAGAGGGACCAGAGCTGAGGTTCTCCATGCAGCATCATTTCTACTGCTTATGCTTCTCCTGGATGTATTATGTTTCCTGCCCTAGTTACTGCAGGCTGCAGTATGGCGGAGCTCAGCACGAGCTGGGAGGAGCATTCAGTGGCTACTAGAAACCTAAAGATAATTAGATGGATGCCATGTGAACAACTGATGACTTTTCACAGAGTTTCTTTCCCTTTAAAATAGCATACTTAAAACAGCAGTGCACTGGTTAGTCCTTTTAAGAGATCAGGCTGGCATCCAGCATCTCTTCACTCCTCCCGCCTTTTTTGCCCCCACCCTGGGCCATCATAAATATACTTGGAGCTGAGTGGGAACAGTATTTGCCTTGCAATTATTTCTAATTGCCCTGTAGTTTTGTGGCGTCTAGGTGATGTGACCTAGATACCAGGTCTGTGAAACTCTTTTCAGCCTGGGGTCTGCATTAGGGAGGGGACATAAATCCTTTTGATCAGGCAACTGTGGCTGAATCCATCTCACCAGTAACATCTATACCCAACTCTACCATCTGTGCTTGCTGAAATTCTAGATCTTTTTAACGGTCTGGATCTAATGCTACCTCTTCCTCCGTGCAGCCCTCCTGGAGTTGCTCCCGCCTCTGGATTTCCAGAGTACTTGTTATCATGCCGTCTGTGATGCTTATCATCCTCTACACTGAGCCATGCTAATTTGCTTACAAATTTTATCTTCTTGGGCTCCTTATGCCAGAGACCGTGTTTGGTTCATTTTTATATCCTTGTCTACTTGGAGAACTGAGTAAAGCAAAGGTAGTTGCTCAGTTAACTACTGTTGAATGAGTGAGTATATGTGATGTCCTCGACTCTGTGGCAGCAGGTAAAAGGACTGTTAACTCATGGTGACCTCTCCTGCTGGTGTTAGGTGAGTTGCCAGCTTGTAGTTCATCTTCTATAGAATCTCTTCATAACCTCCGTATTCCTGGAACTTTGAACAACATTTTTTGAAGGGTGAATGTCAGTTATTTTTCTTTTAACAGAATGGAATTCAAGCAGTCTAGTTTGTCAGTGCACCCCAGTTTCTCCAGCCATCAAACAGATACAATCTGATTTGGCCAGAGTCTGCTGAATGAAGTCGAGAATTTAGGATTAAAAATTGAAATTCAATCTTACATATACAGCATTTTGTTTTCTGTGCTCTCCTTTCTTCCAGCAATCCACCTACTTGTGCAGTTCATACTTCATTTTATACCAATTCTGTATGTAGAACACACTTGTTTAGGTTTCAAAATGTGTTCATTAAGATTCTATTTCATTTTTTTTAGCACCGTTGCTATGTCAAATCTTATCCTAGGTTTATTCTCATATGCTTCCTTTCAAATTCTATCTGCATTTCTGAAGGAGAAACGATACTCCCAACTTACAGATGCCCCCCCACAAAAAAACACCGCAGAAATATAAATTATGACTTACCATAGGTTGCAAAGCCATTAAATGACAGATCAGGATTCATTACATAGATATTAATGGATCATCATTAATTCAATGTGGATTTATTTATTACTTACTATCTGCTGGGTATTGTGAGGAGTATATGAGAGAATAAGATATAGCATTACCCTCAAAGGGCTCACAGTCTAGGGAGGGGGATACACACTTCCATAGAGATAGTATCAGGTGGTACATTTTCTAATAGGACTACTGACCAGAGATTCTATGTGTACATGTGTTTGTTTTCAGAGACATACTGCTCTACATGTCTTCTGCATTTTTGACAAGAGTGATAGTGATGCTTAAAATAAAAAATACCCAATAAGTCAAGCTATGGTAAAGAATATTAATAATAGGGGTGTAGGCTTCAGGCTTAAGCTTCATTATAGCTACTTGGAGGTATATGGAAGCCATGGAGGAATGGACGGTAGGCTGCTCCTCCTCACTTGGCCGGTTGTGTATTAGAGGAAGTTGGCAGAAAAATGCAGGGCTCCTTGAGGGAGAGGACAGGAGAGAAAGGTGTGTCATTGCAGAACAAGAAAGTCCCCACCCACAAACCCAGTTCTCTGCCTCTGAGAGGTGGAGTTCCACCCTGTAAACATCCTCAGTCCTTTTCTTTGACACTTTGCTTGAGGGTGAGAATGGAACTCTCATCCTACTTGGTGAAGTGAGATTCAGACTGAGTGGGGTCACAGCACAGGGCACTGCCTTGCCTGGCTTTATCTGAGTCAATCACACCTTTACTGGCCATTGTCTGTGGTCTAGCCCCCTTTGTCCAGGAAGAGAAAGAAGAGCCTTGAGGACTGGTCTAGTCAGGTAAGATCAAGTGGCTTGTCACTGGTTCTGCAGAGATGGGTTGTTTCTCTATGAACCAACGGATCCTGAAACCCTAGGCTGAGTTTCTGGTCACCTTCCCCACTGACTTATAGTTTGGGCTAGGTTTGTAGTTTTGCATTACCATGTGAAATTCCCCTAGTCTTCCTTACTGTCCAAGGTTGATGAGGTTTGTGGACTAGCATTTTTTATCCTGTAAAGCCACTTGATATACTTACCTATATATTGATTTTGATCTTAATTACCCTATATTGCAGTAGGATGGGTATCATTTTCTCCATTTGGTGGCTTAGTGAACTGAGGCTTGATCAATTGAAGTGATTTGTTCAAATTTGATCAGCAGGCTAAGGCCAAGATTAGACTGGATTCCTTCTTCCCGCTTTCTCTGTAATAGAACCCAGCAGGTCATACCTTATCCACAGAAGCCAAAAGAAGTTAAAAGCCTTTCTGAACTGTTAAATGCTAAACAAAAGGTGATTATTTCTTCGCAGGCAGCTTGAGAGGGTTATTTTTTGATTAATCCGAGGGAAATTTTATAATGACATATAGGTCTCATCAAACAGGGCTCTTTTTGGAGGACAAACAGGAGTGTGTATGTGAAGGGGAGCTGTAAACTGAAAGTGATAGGCAAATGAGACAACGCTGACTACTTCCAGCCTGAGACGTACTCCAGATCTCGGTATGAGCAGGTTTTAATTCGGAACTAAATGACACTCTCCAAATGTCAGAGGCAGCGTAGTGAGGCACGGATCATACAGGCCCTGGGGAAATGTTTCAGCTTTTCAGTCATATGGTGGTATGTAGAAAAGCAAATTTCCATGGGGGGAAAACACCCCCAAATCCTTTCAAGTTGACTCATGCAATTTCCTCTCTTTTGACAGCTATCATCATATCTCATTGTTCTACAGTTTTGAGGAGATCTCATCTTCAGTTATTATGTAGTTTACTCTTTAAGATGCTAATTTTAGCTATCATTTTTTTCTTTTCATGCTCAAAAGGTTATATCATTCTTAGTTGTAGAAGGAAATGTTTCTTCTGTGTGTGTATGTGTATGAGTGTGTGTGTATATGTCTGTTTGAGTTTATTATGACAGTGCTAATATTTATCTCATGGGACCACCATAAATGCAGTGAGTTGTAATGTTACATTTGGCAGATGTATATATATATATATATATATATATATATATATACACATATACATACATACACACACACACACACACACACACACACACACACACATATATATATATATATATATATAGAGAGAGAGAGAGAGAGAGAGTCTCACTCTGTCACCCAGGCTGAAATGCCATGGTGTGATCTTGGCTCACTGTAACCTCTGCCTCCCAGGTTCAAGCTATTCTCCTGCCTCGGCCTCCTGAGTAGCTGGGATTGCATGCACATGCCACCATCCCCAGCTAATTTTTGTATTTTTAGTAGAGATGAGGTTTCACCATGTTGGTCAGGCTGGAACTTCTACATATTCTTAGTGTCTTTCTGGCTGCAAGGATCCTGAAGAAATCATTTAATTGGTTATCTTATTCAAAAGAGAGAAACTGAGGCCCAGGAAGATAAATGATATGGACAAGTCACTCAGCCAGTATCAGTGGAGCTGTAAGTCACATATGGGTCTCTTACTTTTTCACTTCCCACGATGTGTAGTGAATGATGATGGGTATACCAAGCAGAAGCATTAGCTGTGTCATTTTGAAGACTGTACCCAGATGTCCTTTAAGATTTCTTCTAATTAAAAGTGGTAGGGCACTTAGACCTTTGCTTAGCATCTACTGGAGATGGTATCATGCTCTTTAGAGCAGGTAACTTTGTCAGAGAAGCCTCTTTCTTTATTGACTTGGTTCTTCTGGAATATTTGTTTCAGCCAAATGTTGGAACTGCTCCTTAGGTGTAGGACGGGGAGATGGGCAAGAAGTGGTGGCATCCTCATTTTCTTCAGCCTGTCTGAATTTTTGTAACTTCTGGGATCTTTGTTAAGAAGTGTCATTCAGTTTAATACCTTTCAAACTCGAAGTGATTTTTTACTCAACATTGTTGAATCTAATGGCAGCGTCAAGCCTGAGATTTCATTCACTCCAGAGGCCACAGAGCAGCAGCCACAGGTGAATCTAGCCTGCAGATGTGCTTTGTTTGTGCTGCCATGTTAAACAACATAAAACTAGTTCCAAAGTATTTGATATCTAGGAAATTTCCTGTAAAAATCCAGACATCTTGTTTTCAGGAAGATCAAGAGATCTGGTAATAATGTACCCGCATCCCCACATGGATAACACCTGGCTAGGGGCTGGGCAGCATATTCTTTCTGGAGATAGAACATGCTTTCCCCAGTACCCCCCAGCTCCCATTGTACCTGATTTAGGCTACCAAGTGTTTAAATTTTCCACTTCTGATCTCTTCCAACCTCTTAGGTATTAGGATTCCTTTCATTCATTCTCTTTCAAGGGAAACCTAGTTCTAGCTACCTAATGACAGATCAAAGGCACCAGGGAAGAGGTAAAGTTAATTCTTTGTCCCTAATGTCTCACTATGTAAGAGGTAGAGGATATATGATGACTTCAGCAGAATATACCGTTGACTCTGATACCTACCCAGGATATTTTCTTCAGCTAGCTATTAAAACTCAGTAACTTGAATGATAAAGCATTAAGCAAGATGACATTGCTGCAGCATAATATTTAGATGCCTAGGAGAGAATAGGAAGCACAGTTGATACTTGCAGGGTAGGCATTCCTCTTTACTAAATGGATCAATGGCGTAAAAACGAGAAAGAAATTATTATGTATGATAGTACATGGAAAGCAATAAAATACCCTGTTTCCAAAGAATCCAAATTGCTGAAATCCTGGAAACTAGCTTCACAATATGTTTTCTATTATTCACTCACTAATATAATAATCGATCTCCTATGGTGTATACAACCCTAAGCTTAGGGATTTAGGGGTAAAGAGTAGAGACCCTTTCTCAAAGGGGTTTACCATCTACTATTAAAAATGTGTACACAAATAACTATAAGGCAAGACAAAATATGATAAATATTGCAAGATGAAGAGGAAAACAAATGTTGAGATCTCACAAAGAAGAGATTTATGGCAACTAGGTAGGTTACCATCAGATTTAATTGTAAGGATGAAATGGAACTTGAACTGGGCTTTGGACCAATAGACATGAGAAGAGTTTACAACAAGAGAAGAGTTTAAGTAAATTCCCAAGTCAATATTCCCTGAAGTATATTTGAAGGGCAGGAAGCATTTCTGTGGCTAAATATAGGGCCAGTGGAGCTGAAGTGGAATAAGGCTGGAAATCTGGGTTTTCACCAGATCCTGGGTGCTGAGAAGCAGGGTTAGAGTTTCAGATCAGGTACAACATGGTGTATTTGATGAGCATTACAGCTATTGACGAGACATTAGTTCATGGGTATTAGCTCATTGTTATCTGAGCCCGTAAGTCGACAGTGACAGAACCTCTGTGTAGGTACACCTTAGCTCTACATTAGGTTTTTCAGAAGCAACAGAAAAAAAGAACAGGACTGAGCACTTATATGAATGCAATAGACAGTATCATGCTAAGTGAGTAAGGCAAGGTGGTGGTATACAATGGAATTAGAAAGGTGGATAAAAATATTTTAAAAATACTTTAAGCAACCTATAAGAATCACTTAAAAATATGGAAAAGATTTCTCTCTCTCAAGAAAGTCTATTGTTCTGGGTTATCTGAATGTTACAAAAGTGATGATGCACAAGTTGAGTTCTTAACTTGTGGAATGTGGGGAGTTTTTTAAGTAGCTAAACTTTGTCCTTTGGTCTGGGAAGAAGTCAGTCTATAAGGAACAGTTATAAAAGTGTCTTGGACGTACTGACCCTGGATTCCTTCACTGTAAACATTACTAAAAAATCATAGATATATGCATGCTCCACTGTGTTTCACAGTATTCCTGGCAGATGAAGGGAAAGTTTGTGTCTTGCAAAGGGCTACATGGGTCGACAGAGCAACATTTACACAACTCCAAACCCCAAGGTATTTTATAAATAGCCAAACTTTCCTGATATTCATGTGCATGATTGTGTGTGGGACTGGCTTAGAATTGTACTTATATCTCAGAGTTCTGTGCTTCAAGAGAGGCATGCAGGTGATGTGACACAGAATAAAATGAGGCATTTGAACAAGTTTCATTCATTTTAAACTATTTATTGAACAATGGTTCAATTTAAACATCAAGTTTTATTCATTCAAAACTACTGAATACCTGTTCTAAGTTTTGGAAGAAAATTTTATCTTTTCTAAAACCCCATAAGTAGTTCTGGTAATAAAAGCAGTGAACAAAAACAATTATCTCTTTCTTCAAGGAGCCTACATTTATAGTGTGACAGAAAATAAACAAAACCATGCAGTAAAATACATAACATATGAGATATGGAGAACAATAGAATGCAGAAAGAGGAGAGAAACTTATGGAGACCTAGATTTTGGAGAGGGTGCTTAGGATGGAATGAGGCTTTATTTGAGTAAAGAACTTAGGGATATGAAGGAGTCAGTGAAGCACTAATTGAAGAAAGAGAATTCCAGGCAGCTGGAACAGGAAGTGCAAAGGCCTTGAAGCAAGAGCTTGCCAGCCTGACATCTTTGAAGAATAAGGCATAGATTGAACCAAGTGGAAAGATCTTTGGATTTTGAGATGAAGTTAGAGGTTAGATGACAGTGGAGTGAGAGCAGGGAAAAGTGATAATGCAGGACCCTATAAGACACAATAAGGACTTTGACTTTCATTCTGATTGAAATAGGAGCTATTTGCAGATTTGAGCAGAGGAATAACATGATCTGACTCATGTTCCAAAGGCATCCTTCTGTCTGTGTGTTGAGAATAGGTGAGGGTGAAGTGAGGAGGGAGGTGGCAGAAGCAGAGAGATTCTTGGAAGTTATTGCTATAATCCAGATGAGTGATGTGGAAGCTTTGACGAGGATGTA